TAGCAGCAAGGAGAAAAAGAAATTAAGGAAAAGATAAATAAGAATGGCAAGAAATTTCGGTAGGGAGATCAAACAACTTAAAAAAAAACAAAGTAGGGAAATTTAGAGCAGAAGATAGCGAAAATAGGAAAGGCAAGCAACCAGAGCGCTAAAAAACCGACCACTTGGCGCGTTGGCGCAAAAAAGAACTTCCATTCCAAAAGCGCTTTGGAGATAAGGAAGCAGATTCGGAATTAGCGTTCCATCCTCTATAAGATAGTATACATTTCCTATGGAAAAGTCACTTCGATCAAATATCCTTCCCTTGTAAGTACACAACTCTACCTCTACCTGGGTTCACAGTTCGCGTTGGCGCGTATCGACGGGTGTGTGAAAGCTAACCGGTATCGATCGATGGCCTGCGGAATGAAATTAAAAGCAGTGTCCGGGCAAAAACTCGATTATTAGAAAATCCACTTACCGAGGATTATCCGCAACGCTGAATCCGAATATTCACTTTAGAAGGTGCGAAAACGGCGAGAACGCGCGTTTTCCAAAGCCCTACAGTTTGAAATCCGACGGTCCCCGCCAAGGTTGAGGCGCAGAGTCGCTGCAGGATTCTACGATTTTGACTGTTGCTGCATACGTACTCCGCCGCTTAGCAGTTCAAATAACTCGGGACCCCCCCCCCCCCTAAGGCTTAAGTTTCCCCACTTCCCGATCATTCTTCTTGCTTTAGGTTAAAAGTTACAACCTCGTATTTGCGCGATGCTGTGTCTGAGGGGTGCCACATTCGCATGGCACTGAAATCCCAGGACCCCCCCCCCCCATCTTGCCTGGACATTACCTTTAAGGGTGCTTTCATAGTGATTGAAAAACTCGGGAATAGTACCAGCGCAGCGCGCAGTCTAGCGCTGTGCTGAGACTGTTTCCGTATTGTACTTCGGGATCAGTGGGAACGCAGCCTAAGGGTCAGGCCAGACTGCGCGGCGTACGCGGCGTACGAATGTACGCAGCGTACACACACACGCATGAAGGCATCGAGCGCACGCTGCGTACGCCGCGCAGTGTGGCCCAACCCTAAGCTCGAGCTTAGGTTGCGACCTCGTGCGCCACCTCGATGGGTAAAGGGATAAATACTATGAGGCCTAAGGCATTCGAAACCTAGAGTGATCCAAGACTCTGGAAAATGGTACATGCCAATGCTGTTGCTCATCTTTACAGATGAAGGGTGTAGAGGCATTTAACGCTCATCTTCATTATGTCTAGGAAGAAGAATCATGAATCCGATTCCGCAATCATGCGCGCATTTTGCTTTTAGAAGATTAGAAGCTATGCCCTCTACTTACTATCTATAACAGTTTTGAACATTGGTAGTTGGTACACGGTAAAGAGGGTGACCTTTGACTGTTCAATACTCCAAAAACCAGCTCGAATTTTCCGTGCTTGTAGTTCCGATGTCGGCTGCGACAAGCCGACTAACAGAAGAAGCACCCATTGCCTCGGAACTCAATAAGACCCACGAAGTATCTTGAGCAGAAGCTTAGGCGTCTCCATAACGATGCGCATCTGCTATGAGTGCAAATAGCAGGCGTGGGGTATTGTCTTTATTAAAAGGTGGGGCTATCAATATAGCCATTGATGCGGAAGTACTCTCACAACTTTTCATCGATATCTGACCCTATAAACGCTATGGGCTGTCTAAATAGCACTTCGTTTAGGGCGCATACTAAGGTCCGTATGCACGTACATCCCCGCTGAGGACGGGAGTGGATCAGATTAGGGACGCGATATTTCGCTACTGAAAATATCTATCTTCTTCTTTCTATATCTAGCTTATAAAGGTTACCTGCCTCAATACCTGCATAATAGATGCCAAGTTACTGCCTGCAAGATTAGATTTTCATCATCTTGCTCTCATTTTCAAAGTCATTTATCTTCCTAAAACCCAAAAAACGAAAACGATGTAAAACAGTACTGAGACAGTGGGAACCGAGGGAGGCCCTCCCCCCCGAGAATAGGTCGCGAAATTTTTGAAACTTATCTATATGGGTTATAAAAATGTGCAAACGACTTGTTCAATTCTGTGAATAATTAAAATAATTTTTAAAATTTTTCAAAAGCAATCAGCCTTACAAAAAATTTTCTTGTTCGGCCATTTGCTGTTTAGGTGGCCGAACCCGTACCATCAATCAACCAGCAGTAAAGCAGGCGGATACAGGTCGACAGTAGTCAGCGGGGTGTAAGCTTTGGCACTCTTGCAATAAAAACCTTCGTAGCGACGTGTTGTGAGCTCCAAGTGTTACAGTTGCCCTATAGCGGCACAATTCTGCCACTGTACTGAGGATATACTACGTCACTGCCTAGCATGTTTTCGACAGGAGGAATAGAATGTGAAGACTGTGATTGAGAAGACTATCCTAAAATTTTACTTACTTTTGCTAAAGTGCTGTGTTCATGAATATACAAACATCGAAATTTTGAAAGTTTCTCGACTTTTTAGAGGAAACTCAAAAGTTGTTGGTATCACGCGAAAGAGCACAGCTGGAAATGGTATATGATTCAAAAGAATGGAAATCGATTTCATTAGGAGTGTTTTTGCGCCCAAAGCGTTTTTTTAGCGGTTCATGATTATACGAACACCTTAAACAAAGGTCCATTTTCCATTCATAATCGCAGTCTTTCTGGTTCAAATTTTTTTAAACTTGCACTAACGAAGTCTAAAATGCATGCTACACATTGAACCACAGGTGCGATAGGGTGAGAATGACTCCTCCAGGGTGAAGGGGGTCACAGTGGTCGCAGTCCTTCCAGGGTGAAGGGTGTTTTATTTGATCGAGGAATAATAAAATGCCGACCGGGGGGGGGGAGGGAAGAAGGCCATGGTGTTTTCTTATTTTCCAAATCAAAGTTTATCATTTTAAATTCTCTGTCATCACTGGTTGTCTTTTTACCAAAATGTGAAGACTGATAGGGTTGGAACAACCCTATATGTTTTTAAAAATACCGTAGAGGATGTGTATGCGAGAACATCTGTTCCGGGAAAGAGGTAGACATTTTTTAAGCATTTACGAATTTTCAAAAGAAGAAATTCGTAACTTCTATAGATGAACAGCAATGTCAGCAATTTTTATAACCATCTTCCTCCGCTTTCAAAAAATATATAGAGCGTCTGATATCCACTCAAGAAAGTGCACTGAACGGTTTGCCTAGTGATTTTTGGGGATTTTTGATTTTTTAAAATAAAAAACTCATAACTTCTGTAGATGAACATCTTGTATGCCGAGGTAGCCACCATTGATACCATTTCATCCTACGCTTTTAGAGAATATATACTATGCCTAGGGTCCGTTGAAAAAAGTGCCTGGGTGAAGGGTGTCCTAGTAATTGCTAAAGACTTTCAAGTTTTTAAAACAAAAAAATTCATAACTTCTGTAGATGAACATCTTGTACGCGGAAGTGGTCACTGTTGGAACCGTCTCGTCCTCCGCTTTCAGAAAATATATACTTTGCCTGGGGTTCATTAGAAAAAGTGCCGGGTGAAGGGTGGGTGAGACTTTTATAATGGGAGTGCTCAAGTACAGGCTTTTTTTACCATTGTAAAAAGACGTCGACGTAAAAGACAAAGTATATATTTTCTGAAAGCGGAGGACGAGGCGCTTCTAACGGTGACTATCTCGGAGTACAAGATGTTCATCAACAGAAGTTATGAATTTTTCTATTAAAAACTCGAAAATATCCAAAAAACACTAGGACACTCTTGACCCAGGCACTTTTTCCAACGGACCCCAAACATAGTATATATTTTCTGAAAGCGGAGGACAAGGCGGTTCCAATGGCGACCATAACGGCGTAGTTATAAATTTTTTTTTATGTTAAAAACTCGAAAATCTCCAGAAATCATTACTAACACCCGTCCCCAAGCCCTTTTTTCAATAGACTCCTCCTTTCCTATACATAAACAATTCACGTACAGATTCTTTGCTTAACCTTACCTCACTGTTGATTATTCTTCTCGGCTTTTGGTGAAGGGGGTTCTTGGTCCCGGCTCAGGGGTGAAGGGAGGGTGAGAAAATTCTCACACTATCGCACCTGTGCATTGAACCCAGTGCAGTCCAAAAAGAACAGCGTTACTATTTTGGAAGAATTCAAATGCTTTCGAGTCAGCTGCTCCAAATACGTCTGTTTTCATGTGGTTCGATCGTTTTACTTAGCTTGGTTCAATCATTTTACTTAGCTTTTACTAAGGTTGTGAGGTAAAATAAGTTTTTTGGTGGATAATTTGTTTGACGCCTAGGAAATCTCTGCGTTCTCATGCCGTTTTTCATCCGAATTCCAACCGTGATTATGTGTTATGACCAGCATGATTATGTATCCGTGCTAAGGTTTTTTTTTTTTGCAGATCTATTCTAGGGGCTGTGAAGCTGAAAACCAAATGATAATGTGGTTGCGATAAATAGTGGTTTTGGTGAAATGACGACTGTGTGGCCAAAACAAATGCTTGCTGACTTTTTCTAGTCAAATACATTTCATTTCATTTCATTTCTATGCTCAAGGCGTACCATAACAAAAAAACACATCGAGATGTCAGTATTACAGCGGAATGAACAAGAAACGTAAAACGAGTGCAGACATCATCATGTCAATTTGAGTCTAGTCTTAGTCAGACTAAAGTAAGAAAGATGAGAAGAAAATTATTCAATGAAAACTATTCACTAATTCCTTTATATGTTTCCCATTGTAGCCAATTTATGAGGAACTTTATAGCATTTTCCAGATCAACAAAACCTTGGTTTTGTTGTTTATCTTCTTCTTTTATTCTTCAAGCTTGGAATGTCATTGGAATAGGAAACTTTCAAACTAACACTGACGCTTTGTAAATCGACCAGTGAAATTCGATACAGATCACTCACACACTTTTTATTTTGCCGTGATTAACACAAATTTTGCAACACTTTATTGGCGTCGATAACATGGTTGCATGAGCTACCCGAGCTTTGGATTGGGGGGGGGGGGGGAGTTTATTTGGTCTTAGCACTCTTCGCCTTGTCCTCTTCAGCTTTAATTTCAGTCGGCAACGTTTCCCAGATTGCGTCCTTTCGTGCTTTATCAAGAACATCCCAGTACACCTTTTGCCCGTCAATTATTGAGTAAGGGAAGAATCCATTGTAATAATCATCACTTAACGGTTCGTTTGGGTTAGGGTCGTCTTCTAGATCTTCATAATCGCCGCCTTTGCTGTCACTGTTTTCCGAATCACCACCATTGTCACCACTAACGCCTGGAATTGGATCTCCTTCTTCTCTTGCTTCTGCTGTGACCACCGCATTGTAAATCAGCACCTGAAGCTAATAATTCTTCAATTTGTATGTGCTGTGATATTGATGTTTCAAGACCTAAAGTTTTCATAATTCCTCACCTGAGCGCATATAAACAAAACGATGTAGTTGAACATGCTTAACTCGCTCTAGCTTCTTCGCCTTTTATAGAACTCTTCCCAACAATAATGTGAGCCTTGTTCTCGCACTAAATTAATATTCTTTGTTAGTAACGCAGCTGTTTACGCACTACTAGTAGTCCTGATACCTACCACAATGTACTGAATGCATTTCTGGATTTATTGCCCCCGCATTTGCGCTTCGTAGCGGAGTGTGTTAATGTGAAAGAATACCCATTCCGGAGCTATTTTTGTTAAGGACTACAGTTCCAAAAATGTACCGCTCCTAAAGGCAATAACACTGAGCAATTCACTTGCATCTTTAAACACAGAGCACCACTTGCAAAGTTTATGAGCTTCTTCACTCCTGATCAGCGTATTCTGTTACACGTCGTGCATTACTGTGAAGCTTACCTATCATTTTCTAGTCTTACTAGATCTCTAGTCAAATGCAACTCATCGTCAGTGAGAAATTTTTTTTATTTGTCCTTCTTAGAATTCCTGCATGACCTGTGTCTCTGTATTTTTTGGCCATTTTACAACCCACAAAGTTTTTGCCGCATTCCAAACGTGAAGACAAACATGAAGGGAGACAAGGGATAGATAAAACCTTCGGATATATCAGCGCCCATATAGGTAGAATGTCCACCCGTCCAAGCAACCACTTGCTTCAAAGCTGGTATGGGAATCATATTCGTCACTCTTTACATTCAAAAAAGCATTGAGAAGCTACTTTTTGGAGTTTTCAGATTGGATTGCATTTCCAAGTTTCTGCTCACCGTGTTATCTAGCAACTACTAATGAGGAAGTCTAGCATCTGTCCAACCAGATTTAGCTGTCGTTTAGTTATAGCCAGAGTCAAGCGTGGGGTGTGGCATGCCACACCTGGGGGGTTCGAAACTTCGAAAAATTGAAAATTCGAGACTCGAATAATCAAAAAACGGAGTTTTCGTATAGATTTTATTCGAATGTTTTATTCGAATGTTTATTCGAATTCGTATTCGATGAACTCCGTAGTCAGAGCTGAGTATCAAGCTCACTTCGTCCGCGTTTTTTTTTGCAAAACTCGGTAATGCATCTTTTGCAACCGTTATGACCAGGGTCAAGCGTGGGGTGTGGCATGCCTAGGTAGTCGTTTTGAGGAATCAGGGAGGGGGGGGGGGTCCTTATCAAGGCGTCCGCTGTTCGCATAACCTGATATTCGTTAACAATGTTAAATAGGCTCGTCATGCAAAATACTAGCACACTGATGTTTGACACATTATTGTACACGTAAAGAGCATCGTTTTGTAATTAGTAGCAAGTAGAATAACCCCTGCGGTCCAAGTTCCAGCGAATTCTGAGGTTTCCAAGTACAGGAACCTAAGTGAGATGGTCGTTTTCAAGCATGCTACTTTGTTTCAAAGGTAAGTTAACTACTTCTTTTTGCGCTTAATACAAAGAACTACTATTTCTTCGCTCACACTAAAAATCCTATTTCAAATGACCTCCAAATTAAAGAATTAAGAGCAAGCCAAAATCTCGTATGTTTTATTTTTCGTTTTCAATATCTCAGGCTAAAGGAGACCACTGTAAGGCACATCAGGCTCAAATCACTGTAATGTAGATTACGAGGCTTAGATTATCGAATATACACATTCTTGTCGCCCTTCCTTGCAATTCACGTAGTAGGCAGACTTAGCATGTTACCGTGTCCCAATATTTTCGCAGTATTTCACCAGTATTTTACATTGCATAGGTAAGGAAGAACGATTATGTCTTGCTTTTGAAGAAACGTTTTCATACGATATTCCTGCTATGTAAAGAAAAATAAGCAGTAACAACGATATGAAAAACGCAGCTATTTGATCTGTTTTAAGATAAGTTAATCGGGTGTGGCACCACCCCTAAAAAGCTCTGGCTGCCACAGCTTTCTAGGGGTGGTGCCGGACTCCATTAACTATACCAAAAAAATTTTTTTTAGCGAACGCTATCAATACGAACCGATAGCCTAAACCTCGTAGATTTCATAGGAGTGATTTAAGTCTGATTCGTCCTCTTAGCTCTGGGTAATATTTGGTGAAAGCACAGCCATTAAAAGCGAAAGATAGGAAAAACAAGATCTTGATTGGCTTCTAATTCCAAAGTTAGAAGGTCTCTTGAAGCAATATTTCTGAGTTGGCCAAAGAAGGAGTACTGCTTTGTTTTGAGTGCAAAAACAGCTAACTATTCCACCTTTGAAACAAAGTTAATCATGCTGGAAAATGGCGATTTCACTTAGGTGACTCAGTATCTTGAAACTTCATAATTCGCTCAAACATTGTCTACAGGGGCTAATCGATATGCTAATCATGGATATGATGCCCGTTTTGACAGGTCCTTCAAGTAATGCTTTCCCAGGTATATAGTCTAGGGTGTCTTATTTAGAAAGCAATAAGAGGGGAGGGGGTCGTAACCAGCGATCGTGTGCCAGACTATACTTAGGTCTGAATCGAATAGAAATTCGATCATTTGAATAAAACATTCGAGTATATTCGTATTCGAAATTCGATATTCGGAGTTCTCCCATTTTCAAATAATATTCGAAAGCTCGAATAAGCAAAAAACGGGGTTTCGAATAGATTTTATTCGAATGTTTTATTCAAATGTTTACTCGAAATCGTATTCGAATGAAATCCGTAATCAGAGCTGAATATCAAGCTCACTTCGTCCGGCAACTGCCTTTATTCGCTACCTTAGAGATTTTTTGCGAATTGGTGCATTTTGAGTAAAAGACATCGCAGTTGTAGTGGAGGATTAGACGGTTTAGATCGCCGTACGCGACTTGCCAGTTACGAGATGTCTTCAAATATAACGCCAGTTTACCACAAATGTTTGGCGTATACAACTTACTAAAAAGATAAATGCCCTGCATTCTGTACGAGGGTCAAGCAAGGGGTGTGACACACGATCACTGGTTACGACCCCCCCCCCCCCGCTGTCTTAATACCCCCCCCCCCCCTGAATTATACACCTAAGATAGCATTACCTGAAGGCCCCGTCAAGCATAATGGCAACATATCCATAATGAGCATGTCAATTAACCCCCGTAGACAAAGTTTGAACGAATATTGAAGATTCAAGATACTAGGCTACCTAAGTGAAATGCTCATTTTCCAACATGATTAACTTTGTTTCGAAGGTGAATTAGCTATCCGTTTTTGCACTTAAGACAAAGCACTACTCCATCTTTGTTCATCACAGAAATCTTGCTTCAAAAGACCTCCAAACTGTGGAATTGAAAGCCAACCAAAATCTCATTTCTCCCATTTTTCGCTTTTAATGGCTGTGCTTTCACCAAATACAGGGTGTCCCAAAAGTAAGTACACACTTTTCAATCGTCAATATCTCTCTTTCCAATGGGTTCTTTTTCGCCGGTCAGGTACCATTCTGTAGAGGAAGCTTTAACTTAACTTTGCAGTATTGACCGAATTACCAATCGCTCTTCGTTACTGTAGGGTTACGGTGAGAACTTCCAGCATCTGGAACCATTCTGAAACATGCCCTCTGACAAATTTTTGTCCAAAAATCTGAAAATTAGCGTATTAGGGTTTTCGTGTACGCTGATTCCACTACACAACTTCTTACAAGCGTTTTCAGCTTTTTTGACGGTGTAGTCACATTTCTGACAAATACTGGGAATTCGGATATTACGGTTTACCTCGGATAACTTCAGAGAGAAGCATCACAGCAGAGTGAAAATTCCATATTCGAAATCAGCAACTTCCATTACCATAGCATAAAAGTTTCTAGCTTTTTTAGTTTTGTTCCGAGGCAGAATATGGCTTACAATGGCCCAAATTCCTTGTCGAAGTTCCTACAATAAGTCTACAGTAATAAAGAGAGATCGGTGACTCGACCGATATATCAAATCTAAGTTGAAGCCTCTTTACAGAATGGTGTTTGATCGGCAAAAAAAGACCCATTGGGAAGAGAGATATTGACGAATGAAAAGTGTGTACCTACTTTTGGGACACCCTGTATTTGGTGAAAGCACAGCCATTAAAAGCGAAAAATGGGAAAATGAGATTTTGGTTGGCTTTTAATTCCACAGTTTGAAGGTCTTTTGAAGCGGGATTTCTGAGATGAACATGGAGTAGTGCTTTGTCTTGAGTGCAAAAGCGGATAGCTAATTCACCTTTGAAACAAAGTTAATCATGTTGGAAAATGACCATTTCACTTAGGTAGCCTAGTATTTTGAAATCTTCAATATTCGCTCAAACTTTGTCTACGGGGGTTGATTGACATGCTAATTATGGATATGATGCAAATATCATGTTATCACTATTATCAGATCACCCATACGACCCTCCTCCCCTTTTGATCCTCAATACGACCCCCGCCCCCAGGTGTAGCGTGTCACACCCCACACTTGACCCTGTTCTGTACTTCTAGCATAAATTTTGGACAAAATTTATAGCCACTGCTTTCTTAGATCGTCCAATAATGGGTAAATATGACTTCTTGCTGACTAGTTGCCAACCGACCAACTTCAATAATTTTTGGAGAATTTTGAGCTGCGGGGCTGGGATTTGGTACAAGGGGGTAAGTGAGGTTGCTGATTAAGAATAAAAAATTTACTTTATCGATTTTGTCGATTTTTGGAAAATTTCGAGCTACGAGGTTGCGAGTTGGTACAGGGGGTAAATGAGGATGCTGATTAAAACCGAAGTTTATTTTATCGATTTCAGCGATTTTTGGAAAATTTTGAGCTAGGAGTTGGTATAGGGGATAAAGGGGTGCTGATTATGAATGGATAATCTTTAGCCAGATATGTCGGCAAGTTTGAGATATGGTTGCTCTAATTATTCGGTAAATCATTCGAATATTTATTCGAAATTCGACTTCCAATGCTCGAATATATTCGGTATTCATTCATTCGATATTTTTGATTTTCCGAATTTATTCGATGTTCATTCATTCGATAAATAATTTTCGAGTTACCCAAGTATATGCCAAACCTCTTGCTTGACCCTGGTTTTAGCCAAAAATTCTAAAGT